TTATTTCTGTTATTATCCAGATTGAATTATATTAACTGCGAATATATGAAATGCTAATATTTAGTCTAACTTACTGATTTTGAATATTATGTTTTATCCTGAGGTGTTTTGTACCGATTTCTATTCAATACGCCATCTTGTTTACGCGTGCCCCCCCCCTCTATTTTGGTTCTTGGTAAAATATTTAACTTCAACATTTTGCGTAGACAGCTTACATGTATATTTTCTCTAATTATCTTTGTTGGGAAACAGCAAAGTGTGACAAGGCTTCCTACCTCTAAACACAAAGTAGATGGTTTATAATTAAGGCTTGGTTGTGGTGTGCTGTGTGTACATGCCTCATGAAGTGATTAAAGTTTCCTGTGGTCTAAGTATGTGACCTGGGAGTGCCCCGACAGGATGGGGCTAAATGACCCCAAAGCCCCAAACATCCATTTGGCACTTTTCACATTACAGGGATAGAATCTGGAACAGTGGCTGCAAAAATACACACAAAACTTGTATGATGCAACAAGCAGCTGCGATAGAGCTTCGGAACATTGAGAACACTTTCTCTTAAAGTTAGATCTCACACAGAGCATTTCCTGCAGACACATGTCACTCTGAAGTAGCTGCACTTTATTTCCTGCAATTATACAGTAAGCTCCTCCGTGATGAATATTGTCATGTTGATATGGATTGCTTTCTACTCCTGTGGCTTTTCACTGTGCTTAGGCAGGCATCTATTGCTTACACACTACTGCTCTTTATATTGCCATGGGAGCCCGAGAGCAACAAGCTGGGATTACATGCCCTCTTTCATGCCATGTTCTCTTTCTTTCTGTTCACAATTTGATTTGCCCGATGACAGTAACGTTAGCCTCCGCTGATTCTCAATAGCTTTAGTCACAGTCTGCATCATGTACATTATCAGCAGGTGGCTCTTTCCATGTACTCCATCACAGTCTTAGTGTTGATTTAGCTGCTTTGCAACCACAGATTCTCTGCTTCTTTGACAATTACAAGATTGATATGTCACTTCACCGCCAGCAGATCCCAGAACAACAAGCTTGTTATCATGCAGAGACAACACTGGGTGTTAATGATAATTTCTTCCAAAACCACAACGCCTTTTTTATTGCTGCTCCCTGCTGTAAACAATATAACATGTTTTATAGAGCATACAGTAGCTCTTATCTCCCCAAATCTCTTTTACAGCACAGCACAGCACAGTACAGCAGGCTCAGTCTAAATGTACTAAATCCAATAAATAAAAGAACTCTCCTGTTCATAAAGTGCTTAGAGTGGCAAGACTCAGGCTTGATTTAATGCTGTCAAATGGAGCTGTCTATAGCTCTTATTATTTTCTTTTATGCCAGGGCGGCAGGTAGCCTAGTGGTTAAGAGTGTACGGTACAGTAACCAAGAGGTTGCTGGTCTGAATCCCTGAGTCCAACTATGAGGAAACAACTGTCTATGTTCCCTTGAGCAAGGCACTTAACCCTCCTTTAAGTCGCTCTGGATAAGAGCGTCTGCTAAAGCGCTGAAATTCAAATGTACAATTAAGTTAGATTTTTAGAAGAAGCTATGACTATTGCGTTTTGAGTATTACAGTTGAGTTTTGAGTATTACAGTTCAGTTTTCAGTAACAGCCATGCGTTGCCCAGTGATGCAGAAGTCCAAAACGAGCTAAATGCCTTTTATGCTTGCTTCGAGGAATATAACACTGTGCCTTACATGGAAGCCCATGTTTTTCCGGATGACTGTGTGATCTCGCTCTCTGTGGCCGATGTGAGCAAAACGTTTAAACAGGTTAAAGGGGATTTTCACCCTGGGGGAATCTGGGCTTGTTTTCATCATGTCTGAGGCATTTCTAGGACAGTGAGATGTGCCCAGGAGGAAGGCAGGTCAGGTCTTCGTGTGCTGAATGATACACCCTATGATGGCTTCTGGTGTATTGATGGGGGGGAGGGGGGCAAGATCTAAAAATGAATGTAGTCCTGCTTTGTGGCATTTTGCGAAGGCTCTATGTCAGGGTTCTTCAATTCCGGTCCTGGAGGGCCGAAACACTTCTGTTTTTTATTTCTACCTGGTAGTTAATTGCACTCACTTGGTGTCCCAGGTCTGAATTAGCCCCTGATTAGAAGGAGAGGATGAAAAACAGAGGTGTTTCGGCCCTCCAGGACCGGAATTGAAGAACTCTGCTCTATGTTATACTGATCGCACTATACGTTTTTGTGGGTGTAGATATGGTTGTCCTTTTTCGATAGAGCCATTGGACGTCTTTCAGCGATGTTCCTATAGGTGGAGTCATTGCTAAATATACAAGCACACCATTTTTTCCAGTCTCTGAAATATTACAACTTGTGTTGGGCGTTGCTTCGTGCTCTGGCCCCCATCCCAGAATGCCTCAAGATAAACTAACCCTATAACACAAACACAAACCATACAGAGCCTCCAACTACACAACTACACTGTTGACAGACACACACACAAAGGAGCAGAGAGGGGCTCCCCCTATGTTCTCACACAAAGAAGAGGCAGAGGAGGAACAATGGCGGATTGAAGACAGCGGTGCAGAATGCCTCAAGATAAAAACGTAATATTCAATATCTGTAAATCTGACTAAATATTAGCACTTCATTCCACAATAACCTTCAATCTGGATAAAAACACAAAACAAATGTATAAGGCTCGAGAAATGTATTGACCAATATTTCCAACGCAGTCAACACCAAATCATGCCGGCGAGTAAGCATGGAGAACCAATCCCCAAAAGAAAACGAGACTCCTCGACTGACACAGACGATTTATGCTTTTCACCACCTGGAACGGTAAGTGTAGAAACCAACTTGCTAAAGTCGATAAATGATAAACTGGGCATACTTGAACTAGTCAGTAAAGATATAGAGGAGTTGAAGTCCTCGAGATGAGTGACGAAAAAGCCGCAACAATGGAGAAACAAACAAACAAGCTAAAAGGTACAGTCAATACTATTGAAACGGATGCGAAAGAACTGAAAAAAGAGAACATGTTTCTGAGAGAAGCCTTACTTGAAATACAGACTAGATCAATGCGAGAAAATCTGGTACTTACCGGTATTAAAGAGAATGAGGGTGAAGATCCAGAGAGTGTGGTGAAATAATTCCTTGTTAAAGCGCTACAGATCCCAGGCGATACTGTCAACAAAATCTAACTCAAACATGTACATCGTTTCGGACAGAGAGGACAGCAATACGAGTGCCCAATTGGTGCCAAATTTGCTTTCTTTAAATGTAAAATAATGGTTCAAAGCCTGGGCAAAAGACTCGCTGGCACGAAAATAGGAATTAATTGATCAGTTCCCGAAGGAAATTGCTCTTCTATACCCAATATTCAAAGTGAATAGACTAAAAGAGAAATGTGTAGCTCTAGTAGTCGAGAAACTGTACATTGATGACCAACTGTTCCGAGACACCCAGACTACTCCATGGCTATTTTAAATAATACAAAGTTCCCATAGAGGAGTAAAATAATGGAACACCCAATACTATCCATGGTAGGGATTTTAATAAAAAACAGTCCTTATCTGTTTTATAGGCCTACTGCAAGTAGCCTATACATAGCCAAGACAGAAAGATAAACGTGGTCAGAGACCCACTAAAGCAGCACCGCCCCCTCAAGAGTCTGAGCCTGCCTGGCATGGTTGGTCCAACAAAGCCAAAGCCCCCGGATGGGTGAGCATAATATACAAGGAATTTCTCAAAGCTGCTAATGAGAACCTTGACAACCTTGTACCTAGCCGGTGGGAATTCCGGTGGAGTACCCCCACCCAGGTAGTGGCAGTGCTGGCAACACTAGCCGCAGGAACCCATAGGGAGGGGGTCACACTAGGACAATCAGAGACGAGGCAAATTATTGTGGCCCTGGTGGCACAAAATAATCAAGAGGTCTGACTGCTCAGAGATGCTTGAGAAAATGGTCACAACGGGGGACCAGCGTGTGTGTGTTTCAGGAAGGGGGGTGTAGTGGTTAATCAAATCTCCCCATTCTTGCTCAATTTTGCATGCCTTTTCAAACAGCTACAACTGAATATGCATTCGCACATCATGTCTTCTCTTGAGTTGGGCTCGGGGATGGAACAACTGTTGAACATCTGAGCTTGTGGTTGTTTGTGGGGGAAGGGTGGGGAGAGTGTGTGTATGTATTCCACATCTATTGCTATGGGATAATTATGTTAAGGACAGTATAGGGTTAATAACAATAATTGTTTGCCAAAAAATATGATTTTGTAATGCCAGTCCTGGTTATGGGTTGCAATCCTTCGTATGAAGTGCCTACAGTATTACGCATATTATTCGTTAATTGTGGAAATAAATTAAGATATGCAAGATTTAGTTCAATATATTTTTGAAATAACTGTATACAATACAATCAAGGTGAGGGCGTTGGAAAAGCTTTTGGCTGTTCATCTGCTTCTGTTCTGTAGGGGGCACTATGTGCTTTTTTAAAGGATGGGTCCCAATCTTTCAAAGGCCCTAGGATCCAGGTGGACAGGGGTGTTCTGCCAGTCACTGGGATGCTTTTCCAACAGTCTTGAAGGAGTTCCCACATATGCTGTGCACTTGTTGGCTGCTTTTCCTTCACTCTTTCGTCCGACTCATCCAAAACCATCTCAATTGGGTTGAGGTCGGGGCAGCACTCCATCGCTCTCCTACTTGGTAAAATAGCCTTTACACAGCCTGGTGGTGTGTTGGGTCATTGTCCCACTAAAACAAATGATAGTCCCACTAAGCCCAAACCAGATGGGATGGCGTATCGCTGCACAATGCTCACTAAGAGTAGTGCCATGCAGGAACAAACAAGTCTCTTTCTCTCTGAGTCTCTGGAGTTGGATTTTAAGTTCTCCAGTAGAGTGCGGAGACTCGCAACAAGCGCATTCCAAGAGGACTGAGAATACAGAAGGAGCCTACAATAGGGAGAAATGACAAAGCTTTCGTTCAGAAATGGGGTGAAATCCTCAACAAATGTTCTATAGATTTAATGATATTATTCATTGAACATGTGTCGAAGAAAGTAAAAGAGGTTGAAGTGAAGATCAGTGAACATGAGGTTATAATGAAGGAGATTCTAGGCCCAAACTTCACAGCCATAGACGATTCAATCAACCAGTCCATTGGGAAATACAGAGACTTCCTACAAGCAACAAAGATCAAGAACTATCAGCGAGACACAGAGGACTACCAGCTCCACCAGGTCTACGCATGGGAAGGACCAAGGACGGGAGCACCGAGAGGCCGACGTAGGGACACACCACTGACCGGGGGACGCAGATACGCAGCAGCTGGAGGACATGGAAATGCTCTTTCTCTCTGAGTCTCTGGAGTTGGATTTTAAGTTCTCCAGTAGCGTGCGGAGACTCGCAACAAGCGCATTCCAAGAGGACTGAGAATACAGAAGGAGCCTACAATAGGGAGAAACGACAAAGCTTTCGTTCAGAAATGGGGTGAAATCCTCAACAAATGTTCTATAGATTTAATGATATTATTCATTGAACATGTGTCGAAGAAAGTAAAAGAGGTTGAAGTGAAGATCAGTGAACATGAGGTTATAATGAAGGAGATTCTAGGCCCAAACTTCACAGCCATAGACGATTCAATCAACCAGTCCATTGGGAAATACAGAGACTTCCTACAAGCAACAAAGATCAATAAATATCCGCGAGACACAGAGGACTACCAGCTCAACCAGGTCTACGCATGGGAAGGCCCAAGGACGTTGTGGAAATGAATCACTATACTTTATTAAAAATCAAAGTTCTTACAGAGTTTTTGTTGAATCAAGATTTACTTTATTGAATTTCAATAAAAGGAAGCTGGTCTGCAGAGTAGCCCCTCCTCTCCCTCTCTCTCTCCATCTTATATAGTGCCCTCCACACACCCTAGCTTTAAAATCCCTCTCTCTTCAGTTTCCCGCTCTTTTATTGCTCCGCCGACTCCCTTTGTCTGTGGTGGCGGCTAAATTCGACTTTCATTCAGTTCAGAATCACATAGTACTACAATCAATCACTCCCCTGTCTTGCAAAAATACTCATGTTTAGTTTAGACTCTGTTCAACCCCGGCTCTCCCGGGCTTAACCGGAAGACCGATTCTTGGACATGACAGGTCCCTAAATCCTTCAACCCCACCCCATCATGCTGTAATCAATCAAGAAGATAGCCAAGGAGAGACAAAGGTCTAGCCCAAACTCCATTCTACCCTGGTTCTGCTCCCTTCACTGTGTTTGAAGAGAGAAACAAAAGGCCACAAGCTAGTTTCAGTCTCTGATGAGATAAGACAGCCATGGATTTAAGTAAGAGCGAGCAATTTGACCCTAGGTCAGATTGCCTCTTTACCCCCACACACACAGTGAAATGACCCAATTAAATTCCTGGCCCAGTAACACAAAATTTTAACTCTATGTTCGCGATTAACTCAGTTTTATCTCATAGTCCATTAAAAAATACACATCAGGAGCACAGAGAGGCCGACGTAGGGACGCACCACTGACCGGGGGACGCAAATACGCAGCAGCTGGAGGACATGGAAACGCAGACACAGAGGCATCCACTGAGAGCGAATTCCCTACAGACAGCGACTCCAGCTACCATCGCACACAGACTTATTTTTTAGCCCGAAAGCAGTACAACAATAAGGCTCCACAAAAGAAAAGAAACGATGTAGGAGAGGCATGTGGTCAAAGAGGGGTCAGGAACACAGGCCATGGACATGGAGCTACAGCAGGACGCGGTAATTAACCTCTCCAAAAAAGAGCTTACTAACGCATAAGTCTCAGTCTTATCTAAGGGCCTCTCTTTTGTACCTACATGCACAGACAAACCATTGGATACAAAAGTAGATCTGTTTAAATTATTTCGCAAGATTAAACTTAAGCATGTGTTTTCTCAAAACACTGTTTCTGGCCTAGAAACCCAACAAAGAACTGGTACCCATTTTAAGCCCAAAAGCAAATGCTGTCCTATAATTAACAACTGCTCGATTAATACCTATTGTAGGTTAGTCGAACAAGAAGCCATGTCAGTATAGACGAGAAAAACAAACCACATAAAGAAGAACCTCACTAGGACAGAAGAACAGGCACTTAATGAACTAATGAAAGATTCATCTTTGGTTATCAAACCTGCAGACAAGGGGGGTGCTGTGGTCGTTATAGACTATGAAAAATACAAATTAGAGATTCAGATACAACTCAGTAATGAACGTTTCTATAGAAAACTGAGTGTTGATCCCACACAGGTGTTCCAAAGGGATATATGCTCTAATCTGGAGCAAGCCCTATTAAACAACCTTATCTCAAAACCTGAATATGAATACCTTTGCCACAAATGTGCCATAAGTCTATGCCTGTACATTTTGCCGAAATTACACAAACCTAAAACACAACAAGGCAATTATCCAGGCAGACCCGTGGTTGCAGGAATAGGGTTCAATGCTAGAGCCATTGTCAAACTTCGTAGACTATTTTATTAAATCTCATGTGCAAGCATTGCCATCATACTGTATGTGAAAGACTCTATAGACTTCATAAACAAGATCTCACCAATAACGGGATTAACAGAAGACTGTATTTTGGTCACACTAGATGTTGAGAGTCTATATACCAGCATTCCCCATACGGGGGGCTGGCAGCCCTAGCTCACTATTTGAGAGACCGAGATACTAACAAATACCCACCAACAAATTTTATTCTAGAGCTGGCTGAATATGTTTTGACGTATAACTATTTCAGTTTTGATGATGAATACTACCTCCAAATGAATGGAACATCAATGGGCTCCACATTCGCTCTGAGCTATGCTACCTACCCTTTATGTGGGTCTTTTTGAAGAACGTTTTGTTAAAAATTAAAACGAAAATCCATTTTTGAATAAAGTCCTGAAGTGGTATCGATATATTGACAACATTTTTTGCATATGGGATGGAATGGGAGAAGAGCTGTCAGACTTTATGGCATTACTCAATGACATTGACCCCAATCTCAAATTCACTATTGAATGTGACACTAAACGTGTTCATTACCTCAATATGTGGATTGAGAAATCAAATGGAAACCTGTTTATAACTCTGTATAGAAAAGAAACGGACTGAAATACTCTATTACAAAGGGACAGCTTGTGGTTTTACAGACGTGTTTAATACGTTTTCTGTACACACTGTATTAGAATATTTATGAAATGCACATTGTTATATTTGGTAGCACTTTCCTTCGACTCCAACCCAATTCGATGCGTGAAACGGATGTGGGTGGGGCTATGTCTACATAAGGGTGCTAATAAAAAAAAATCACAAATGCTCTGACGAAGGCCTTGAGGCCGATATGTAAAGCTTATTAAAGAGCAGTGATAGTATCAAGAGCAGTGTGCGGGTTTCTTCTTTTTGCTCATCCAATAGAACGTTAACAAAAATAGATCACAGCTTGCTACCATGGAAAGGAAAATACCTGTCTATTTGTGGAAATAATCTATTTGGTTATGGCCCTGCCTACACCTAACAACTTGTTTTTAAAATGATATGAGCAAAACAAAATCCATTTTATTTGGAACGGCAAGCCAGACAAAATTAAACGGGCCTATTTATATAATGAATATGTATTCGGAGGGCAGAAATTATTAAATATTAAAGCATTAGACCTCTCACTAAAGGTTTCAGTCATACAAAAACTATACTTAAATCCGAACTGGTTCTCTAGTAGATTAGTAAGAATTGACTTTTTCCCTTTATTAGATATATCCTCATCAATCTACACACAATAACCTTAATGACAAAGCAAAAATAGGTTTTTAGAAATTTTTGCAAATGTATTTCAAATAAAAAACAGAAATATTACATTTACATAAGTATTCAGACCCTTTAATCAGTACTTTGTTGAAGCACCTTTGGCAGCGATTACAGCCTCGAGGCTTCTTGTGTATGACGCTACAAACTTATCAAACCTGTATTTGGGGAGTTTCTCCCATTCTTCTCTGCAGATCCTCTCAAGCTCTGTCAAGTTGGTTGGGGAGTGTCGCTGCACAGCTATTTTCAAGGTCTCTCCAGAGATGTTCAATCGGGTTCAAGACCGAGCTCTGATTGGGCCGCTCAAGGACATTCAGAGACTTGTCCCAAAGCCACTCCTGCGTTCTCTTTGCTGTGTGCTTAGGGTTGTTGTCGTGTTGGAAGGTGAACCTTCGCCCCAGTCTGAGGTCCTGAGCGCTCTGGAGCAGGTTTTCATCAAGGATCTCTCTGTACTTTGCTCCGTTCATCTTTCCCTCGATCCTGACCAGTTTCTCAGTCCCTGCCACTGAAAAACATCCCCATAGCATGATGCTACCACCACCATGCTTCACAGTAGGGATGGTGTCAGGTTTCCTCCAGATGTGAAGCTTGGGATTTAGGCCAAAGAGATCAATCTTGTTTTCATCAGACCAGAGAATCTTGTTTCTCATGATCTGAGAGTCCTTTAGGTGACTTTTGGCAAACTCCAAGTGGGCTGTCATGTGCTTTTTACTGAGGAGTGGCTTCCGTCTGGCCACTCTACCATAAAGGCCTGATTGGTGGAGTGCTGTAGAGATAGTTGTCCTTCTGGAAGGTTCTCCCATCTCCACAAAAAAACTCTGGAGCTCTGTCAGAGTGACCATCAGGTTCTTGGTCACCTCCCTGACCAAGGCCCTTCTCCCCCGATTGCTCAGTTTGGCTGGGCGGCCAGCTCTAGGAAGAGTCTTGGTGGTTCCAAACTTCTTCCACAGTTGACTTGCACTGTCAACTGTGGGACCTCATATAGACAGGTGTGTGCCTTTTCAAATCATGTCCAATCAATTGAATTTACCACAGGTCGACTCCAATCAAGTTGTAGAAACATCTCAAGAATGATCAATGGAAACCGGATGCACCTGAGATCAATTTCGAGTCTCATAGCAAAGGGTCTGAATACTTGTGTAAATGTGATATTTCAGTTTTTTTATATATATATTTAACGTAACAAAATGTGTAAAAGGTCAAGGGGTCTGAATACTTTCCGAATGCACTATATATGTAAAGTACCAGTCAAAAGTTTGGACACATCTACTCATTCAAGGGTTTTTCTTTATTTTTACTGTTTTCTACATTGTAGAATAATACGTCAACACAATACATAAGACATCAACACTATGAAATAACACCTATAGAATCATGTAGTAACCAAAAAAGTGTTAAACAAATCAAAATATATTTGAGATTTGAGATTCTTCAAAGTAGCCACCCTTTGCCTTGATGACAGCTTTGCACACTCTTGGCATTCTCTCAACCAGCTTCATGAGGTAGTCACCTGGAATGCATTTCAATTAACAGGTGTGCCTTGTTAAAAGTACATTTGTGGTATTTCTTTCCTTCTTAATGCGTTTGAGCCAATCAGTTGTAATGTGACAAGGTAGGTATACAGAAGATAGTCCTATTTGGTAAAAGACCAAGTCCATATTATGGCAAGAACAGCTCAAATAAGCAAAGAGAAATTACAGTCCATCATTACTTTAAGACACGAAGGTCAGTCAATACAGAACATTTCAAGAACTTTGAAAGTTTCTTCAAGTGCAGTCGCAAACACCATCAAGCGCTATGATGAAACTGGCTCTCATGAGGACCGCCACAGGAAAGGAAGACCCAGAGTTACCTCTGCTGCAGAGGATAAGTTCATTATAGATACCAGCCTCAGAAATTGCAGCCCAAATAAATGGTTCACAGAGTTCTAGTAACAGACACATCTCAACATCAACTGTTCAGAGGAGACTGTGTGAATCAGGCCATCATGGTCGAATTGCTGCAAATAAATCACTTCTAAAGGACACCAATAAGAAGAAGAGACTTGCTTGGGCCAAGAAACACGAGCAATGGACATTAGACCGGTGGAAATCTGTCTTTTGGTCTGATGAGTCCAAATTTGAGATTTTTGGTTGCAACCGCCATGTCTTTGTGAGACGCAGAGTAGGTGAACGGATGATCTCCACATGTGTGGTTCCCACCTTGAAGCATGGAGGAGGAGGTGTGATGGTGTGGGGGTGCTTTGCTGTTGACACTGTCAGTGATTTATTTAGAATTCAAGGCACACTTAACCAGCATGGCTACCACAGCATTCTGCAGCGATTACGCCATCCCAACTGGGTGGGGACTATCATTTGTTTTTCAACAGGACAATGACCTAAAACACCCCTCCAGGCTGTGTAAGGGCTATTTGAGCATGAAGGAGAGTGATGGAGTGCTGCATCAGATGACCTGGCCTCCACAATCACGTGATCTCAACCCAATTGAGATGGTTTGGGATGTGTTGGACCACAGAGTGAAGGAAAAGCAGTCAACAAGTGCTCAGCATATGTGGGAAGTCCTTCAAGACTGTTGGAAAAGCATTCCAGGTGAAGCTGGTTGAGAGAATGCCAAGAGTGTGCAAAGCTGTCATCATGGCAAAGGGTGTCTACTTTGAAGAATCTAAAATCTAAAATACATTTTGATTTGTTTAACACTTTTTTGGTTACTACATGATTCCATATGTGTTATTTCATAGGTTTGATGTCTACACTACTATTCTACAATGTAGAAAATAGTAAGAAATAGAAAGAAAAATCCTTGAATGAGTAGGTGTGTCCAAACTTTTGACTGGTAGTGTAGATATGGGGTTTGGAAATGATGGATTGGAAATGATGCAGACAATTACATAGATATAAACCACAATCTAGCTGCAATATTAAAGCTGATCTACCCCCTAAAAAAGTATACAAAA